ATGTTTCCTCATGGCAGTGGAAGCCAAATGCTCTGACGATGAGAAATTATAACAAGTTATTGAGCTACACTATTCAAGAGGGTCTGAGAGTCGAAGGCGCCACCATTGCGAATTTATATTATTGAAGAGGAAAGGAAATCGCTATTTAAAAAAATAGTTATGGAACTATAATAATTGTTTCTGAAGGGAAACACCTTCCCATGCAAATGAACAGGATTCCAAAAATGATATTTTCAAGGTGCATCAAAGTGGAAGCAACTGTTGCAAAACAGTGATTCCCTTAATGGAGATGTCCAGCAATCCAGTCCAGGCTTGGAAAACGGAGAAGGTGACCGATGATCCCCCGATTCAGGATTCCCAAGGTGATATTCCACTCGGTTTTGTTATGTTTTTAATGGAGAAAACATGACAACCAACAGTTTTTCCTAAAGCCTCAGTCAGAGTGAGGAGGATGAGAGACGCCATGAAGGCGATATTCATCGCCGTATGTGCAGCTCTTGCGATCCAACAGGTTAGCGCCGGTTTATAGGTCAACTCGCTCTTTAGTAGTGTGCTTTTGGATGATGAATGGATGAGAATTTGCAGGTCAGACTTTTGGTCGACGAGTACGAGTCTTTCCCGACCAACACCTTGTATAAGATTGAGAATGTGAACACGGTCCCGCCTCCAGCATTTACGATTTGTCCGAAACCCTCTCTGAAAGCGTCTGAAGAAAGAATGACGGGGGGAAAAATCGATCAATTAGAGGAATTCGCGAAGGTTACGGTGCCCTTGACCGACTTGGTTAGATTGATTCCTACCAACTCGAAACCAGCGAACCCTCCAAACGGATCATTTACCAGCCAGGAAACCATCATTCCACTAGAAAATGGTAAGGATTTTACTGACTTCCATTCAAATGTGGAAATTATGGAAAGATGAATAGGAATAGTGTTCTTCGCTTAGACAAAGGGTATTGGAACGAGCGAATATTTTATGACCTGGAGGACGTCACTGGGTATTACAAGTGCTTCACGCTATATCTGAAAGAAGAACTGCCCGTGGCCAAGAAGAATTGCGAAGCACAAGTCTTCTCATTTGATTTCGCGTCGATCCAGCAATACGATTTTGCAGAGGTAGGAATAATCTACTCATCATACCGGTTGGGGTATGAAAGCCTTGCGATTTCATGCCATTCATGAAACAGCAGCCTGCGCTACGATAAACTTCTGCAATAACTACAACCCTTCAAACATGCATAAGTGATGCATGTTTTCCTTTCACTCGTTTCAAAGGTGTGAATTTTACGTTGCTTCATTTTTAAATGGGGAAATGTATATGCGAGAAAGTGGTTGGTTCACACCGAATCTGGGCCAGCGGCACTCGGTCGCTCCATGAAAAAGATGTACTTTGTGAAGTGAGACAAACTCCTTCCTCTCAGCTTAGGAAGGGATAGTGCGGTAGTATT